CTATCATATCTACTATTATGGACAAGAAGCCTGCAGAAGGAATGGAGTAGCCCTCATAGTCAACAAAAGAGTGGGAAAAGCTGTAATGGGATATAATCTCAAAAATGATAGAATGATTTCAATGCGAATCCAAAGTAGACCTTTCAACATCACAATAACCCAAGTTTATGCACCAACCACAAATGCTGAAGAGGCTGATATTGACCAATTCTATGAAGACTTACGACACCTTCTAGAACTGACACCAAAGAAAGACATTCTAATCATTATAGGGCATTGGAATGCTAAAGGAGGGAGTCAAGAGATAAAAGGAACAACAGGGAACTTTGGTCTTGGAGTTCAAAACGAGGCAGGGCAAAGGCTAATAAAGTTTTGTCAAGAGAACAAGCTAGTCATCACAAACACTCTTTTCCAACAACACAAGAGGCGACTCTACACATGGAAATCACCAGATGGGCAATACCGAAATCAGATTGATTATATTTTCTGCAGCCAAAGATGGAGAAGCTCTATACGGTCAGCAAAAACAAGGTCTGGAGCTGATTGTGGCTCTGATAGCTTCTCATAGCAAAATTCAAGCTTGAACTGAAGAGAGTAGGAAAAACCACGGGGATAGTCTGGTATAATCTGAACCAAATCCCTTATGAATACGCAGTGGAAGTGAAGAACAGATTTAAGGAACTAGATCTGGTGGACAGACTGCCTGAAGAACTGTGGATGGAGGCTCGTAACATTGTACAGGAGGCAGGAACAAAAACCATCCCAAAGAAAAGGAAAGGCAAGAAAGTAAAGTGGCTGTCCAACGAGGCCTTACAAATAGCAGAGAAGAGATGGGAAACAAAATGCAAGGGAGATAGGGAAAGAAAATTGAATGCAAACTTCCGAAGAATATCAAGGAGAGACAGGAGGGCCTTCTTAAATGAACAATGCAAAGAAATAGAGGAAAATAATAGAAAAGGAAAAGCTAAAGATCTCTGTTCAGGAAAATTGGAGATGTTAAAGGACCATTTTGTGCAAAGATGGACATGATAAAAGACAAAAATGGGAGGGACCTCACAGAAGCAGAAGACATCAAGAAGAGGTGGCAAGAATACACAAAGGAATTATACCAGAAAGATTTGGATATCCCGGACAACCCAGATAAGGTGATTGCTGACCTTAAGCCAGACATCCTGGAGAGTGAAGTCAAGTGGGCCTTAGAAAGC